GTACAATGGACATAAACGTGTGCATGCACTTAAATTCCAATCAGTTGCTCTGCCTAATGGTTTAATAGCCAATCTATATGGTCCTGTCGAGGGACGTCGCCATGATGCAGGGATGTTAAAAGATTCTGGCCTACTAGGTTCCCTGGAGCTTCACGCCCATAATCCAGATGGGCAACTCCTTTGCTTGTATGGAGACCCAGCTTATCCACTTCGCCCACAGTTAATGGCCCCCTACCGTGTTGGTGATGTGCAAGTATTAACAGAGGATATGAAAGAATTTAATCGAGCAATGAGCTCCCTCCGAGTTTCTGTGGAATGGTTGTTTGGTGATGTTGCAAACAGTTTTAAATTTATTGATTTTAAGAAAAATTTAAAATTACGGCTTAGTGCAGTTGGCAAATTTTATGTTGTTGCTGCATTGATGAGAAACATATTAACATGTCTCTATGGGAATACTACTTCAAAGTACTTTCACATTGATCCACCGACCATCGACTCTTACTTAGGGGTGCATAATTAGATGTCCTGGGATTAGGGGGGCATTTGAAATAAAGTGTAATAAACATGTAAATCACAATGGCAAAGCTAGCCATGGTAACTGCTATGCTAATAAACCTGCATTTCTAAATGTTTGAAACTTTGAATAATGCAACTATTACAAATTTGTATAGCATGACTATATAGCTTTGGCACTGATTGCAGAATATAAAAAACACACAGATAGCAGATATAATACTGGAATAACATGATATTTTCTATTACTGTATGTTGCCAAATTGTACCTTAATTAGGCTATATAACAAGGAAAATGAAAAACATTAACTTCAACTTAAAAACCACAACATTATTGACATTTAATGTCACTTTATATATTAAATAAATGTCACTTTGATAGTTTCTCAATGACAGTAACAAATAAATGTTGTGTGTTTTTTTGTGTTTCCATCATTTGCTGTAACTGTAGTTGTTGCAACTGAAATTGCTGCTTCTGTTGTTCAGCTTTAAGTTGTAGTTCTTGTCTTCTGATTTCTAACTCTTCTTTCCTCAGCTCATTTTCATTTGTTGTTTTCTGAACTAAATATTGAATGGGGTCTGTACAACTTCTTCTTTTTCTTTTCCTTGCAGGTTTAGGCTTCTCTCCCAGATTTTCATCACCACTGTGTTCTTCATCTTCAACTTGCTCATCCTCACCATGCTTTGCTGCCTTCTTCCAAGTTGTCATTGCAATTTCTCTGGTAGCAAGTGCTTCCTTTCTCTTTTTTTCTTCATTTCGGGAGTCAACAGCTGGATTCTTAATTGGAGTTGACTCCAACATCTCGATAATCTCTTCTAATATTTCTTCGTTTTCAGTTGGTGGGTCTGGGGTAATACCTGAAGCTTTTTCTTCCATGGACTTCTTTTTTTGTAGTTTCCCATTATCTTATTGAATTGATCTCGAACACTACGCTGATCTCGGGGCATGTCATGAAACAAAACAAAACAATTAAGATTGTCGGCTACTAATGTCCACTTTTGTCCTGCTTCTTTGCTTCCGGCCTTGTATAAGAAAGGTTCAGACACGTAAGCTTCACGCAGAAGTAAGGTGTTCCTTTCATTGCTCCAGCGAAAGGGCCCCCTAAAACCAAGGCATAGTAGATAGTTTTTAAATAAATAAATTTGCATTCAAACCATTAATACCATTTCATATAAAGAATAATTAAATCAGACCATGTGTAACAAATGGCTTGATTATAATGAGTGCCAACTTGGCATTATGAGCTGTCTGAATTTGAGCCAGAAGTCTTGATTTGCTGCCTAGAGTACATCCCAGCAATTCCATTTAATATACATTACAAACCATTATAATATAACATGCGGAAATTCTGAATGCTGATTGGCTAAGAGCCGTGTTGACATAACTGAATGTCAACACGGAAAAATTTCCCACCGCTCTTTAAATTTATTTTAATGTTGTACAGTATATTTCATTGTGCTATATTATAAAGCAAATATAAAACTTTTTTCCGTGTTGATATACAGTTATATCAACACGAGTGGAAATTGGGAAAACGAGAAATTGTGTGGAAACACGACGCCCAAAGGGTAAAACAAGTTTTTACTGTATATATCTAACAAAAATTTCAATCCCTTAAAGGAGAATGCTAGCTTGTATCTGGATATTAGAACATACCTATATAAGGGTGGGTATATACATGTACACGGGAATAGAGTAAATATCCAATGTGTTTTCTTTTATGTGGTCATTTGAATAGCAAAATCATTGCAAACATAATACATTCATAAGGTTTGTCTCCAGTATGTGTTCTTTTATGTCAACAAAGTTGTGTTGACTAAGCTCAAGTCAATTTGTTATACAGTATATTGATTTATGTATGTTTAAGTTGTAGCAATTGTCACAGGTTGATAACATACAAATGATATAATATACATATAGTAATACTAATTGCACTGTATTAACATACAGTTATTAGTAATACCAATCTTGACAATGAATGTGATTTGCTTTATATTCCTGGCTAATTTAAAACACGTTTCTGATATCACAAGCAAAAAATAGCCATAAAATTCCACTTCCTAAATATACTTTATACCTGGAATTGTTCAAACTTTCACCTTGTCCATCTGGTTTTTCACTAAAACCATTCAAATGGAACACATTAATGTCAAATGTGGTTGATTTGTTGATCAATAACGAGGTTAAAAATTCGATTATTTATATCTTAAAATACGCGCAGTATGAGGCACATTAAATTAAAAAAAAAAACATTTTCAACGCTTGATTTCAATATAAATATTGCATCCTGTCCACCTCTCCAACCTTGACTAGTTGTTTTCTTCATTAAAATATTGACTAATAGTATTGCATATACTTTATAGCTCAAACTGAGGGACACTTTCAGAATTTCAGTGCTAATATAATTTTTAAAAACGTTGTTGTTTTCGAAAACGGATACCACAAAACATCACATAACATAATCCAGCATAAAACTATACATTCAAAAATCAGGCACACGATGAGAAAATCATACCTGGCTTTTTCCATGTTCGTTTCCGGTCTTTCCGTTTCGTTTTAGCTGTTAAAATAACTTGAATCACTTTCAAACACGAGTAAAATCTATCTTAAACATTTTGTTTGAACAAAACACAGTTTAAACAAAGAAAAATAAAAAATATAGAGCAAAATTTACTTACGTACTAGAGACTACGTGAAAAACCTGGAAAACTGTCGTAGCGAGCGGGAACACAACGAACAACGTAATTATGCTTGGTCTTGAGCATGGGCAAAGCACCTCTACCCAGTTCTCTCTCGTCCTCATTCGTTGTTCGTTGTCCGTAGTCGCCAATCTTAAAGTCCCTAATACAACTATGTCTGAGTCCGTTAGTAGAGATGACTCAAGTTTAATCCAACATTATGTAGACGAATTTGCCAGAAAGTCAATTGCAGATGGCCTCCAGTTAAAAGAAACCAAATGCAAAGAGCTCCGGATAAGCTTTTCTTGGCTTAACAAAGTATTTGAGCCCATAACTATTAATGGTAAAAATGTCGAGGTTCTAACATCCACAAAATTACTGGGCCTTACCATCTCTAATGATCTCAAATGGAACACTCATAGTTCGAATACTTGTAAAAAGGTATCAATACGGCTATATTTTCTAAGACAATTAAAACGTGCCAAATTGCCATCTAACCATCTGGTCCTGTTTTATATCACCTGTATTCGTCCAGTTGTCGAGTACGCGTGCGAAGTATTCCATAACTCGCTGCCGCAGTACCTGTCGGATGACTTAGAAAAACTTCAAAAACGTGCTTTTCGCATAATTTTTCCTGATATGCACTACAAAGATGTCTTGGAGACCAAGAACATTTTGTCACTGAACGATCGAAGACAAAAATTAACAACGAAGTTGCGTTTAAGGTGGGGGTCTACCTAAACTTGCGATATTCCGGTTGACCACATTTGCAAGCCTATTACTCGCCAAGTTTTTTAGATAGCTGTACAAAACTATATATCATTAGAAAGCTCGTTTAACATAGATTCTAAAAATACTAAGGTCTTTCTCATACCTTTAATATTTAGCCTGCCATCTAGTAATTAAACACAGTGTATGTCTCATACAAATCACTGTTAGTTGGGAAAAATACAGCCTTACCATTTTAATGAAATTTTACCACTAAGAGCTATTTGTTGACTACAAAGCAAGTAGATTGTTTTCAGCGATGGAATTTTTTATGCTGCATGTAGTTTTTGCACAACATTGCAGCAAAATTTTGGTTCGATTTTCTTCCAAAAATCCTGGCATATTTCCTCGATAAAATGGCAGCATTACAACATATGCCAAATTCTATCGTTGAAAACACTTATCATGATGAGCTCTATTAACACTGAAAATTTCAGCCAGTTTGGTCAAATTGGTAAAGAATTATCTTTTTTCAAAGATGAAAAATACCACATTTCGGGAAAACGTCTATAAAGTATAAGTTATCAAATATGAACTACCAACTGTTAAGATATACACTATACTCGATATTTTAGACAATTAAAATTGTGCTGGGCATCCCTCATCATCAATTTTCATGTGAAGTCATTTCTTTTTCAAGATTTACTTGTTTATAATAAGAATCCTTTTAAATTTTGATTTTTCTACCATTCCGTCCACATGCTATTATGTCTTGCATCACCATTTGGTTTTCCCGCAGTTTGATGGTTGGTTTAAAAGATGTTCCTGAGTGTTAACAGGACATCCCAATCCAGTTCTCAATTTGTATAGCTAAATTTTCCATCATTTTCTTTGCTGAACCCACTTGCTGCTAACAAGGATGTTTAAAGATGCACACGGCAGTGATGGCACTCATTGTGCTTACCAAAGGGGCATGCAGACCAACATTTTAATACCACAGTTTTTTGTATACAATCAATTGTCAATACCAAATGACATGATTCAATGGTAAAATAAAATTATCTGCAACTGTATTCTTGTCCTATTGCTCCAAGTGGTACATTCGGTAAACATATTCGGCCCAAAATAAGCTCTCAAACTTGGTAGGCCTTTACATGTGATTACAGTCCCTAAAATGCAGCACAAAAACAACCTCATTAATATTAATACCAAGAAGCATTAAAATAATAAAATTATAACAACGAAGCAAGAAATAATGTATTGATATCTGTACTAAAATAGGGTAGAGGAAATTGATCTCTTGATATAATGTTGTAAATTTGCAATTTTGCAATAATTACTAATTACATTTGTATTAAGAATGATTTGCCCCTTTAATACTGCAACATTTCGACTTATAGTAATATAGTAGAATCAATCATTCAATGATAGAAAAATACGTACATCCACAGTTCACCATACACAGCTACTAAGTGCATCAGAACAAACGTTTGAATATCTGTTTATAAGATGCCAAGAATCCAAATACGATTCGAAGATGACTGTTGACATTGGTATTGAATGCATGAATGTGTTCACGTTTTATCGTCGTCTTTATCGCGCATTTCTTTACCCCAGTGA